GCATTGGAACTAGATGTTTTGAATTCCTCTATATACTGGGTTAACCATTTGTTACTGCTAGATAATCCTAATTTCTGTGGAAAACATTCTTGACAGCATGTACTGTGAACCTCTTGTAGCAACTAGGCACAATTCCTCTTCTGCGTTTACTACCAACTTCTAGTTCCCAGTTGCATCAGGTTGCCTACGATTTCAGACAATCTGGGTACAATTTAATTTTCATTCTCTCTGATAAATTTTCATCACAGTGTTACTACTTTTTTAAGGGATTTTTGCATATATACCGCTTAGGTCTTCCATATTTGCAAATTTACCCCTCAAATCTTGGTATTTGTACAATTAGCCCCCAGTTCTCACACATTGAGTTTCTTTATCTTCTCACTTAACATTTTCAGTTTTTAAATGGGAAATTGTTGCAATCTTATTGAAATTTTCACCATTAAACTGTTTGGTAACCAACATTGTTAAGCAGGAGGGGTGAAAAAAATCTAATGTGAGAGAACTGAGGGGCAATTTTGTAAATAATAAGATTTGGGTGGTAGATGTGCAAATATGTAAGATTTGAGGGGTATATATATGCAAAAACCCCTTCTTCTGATCCAAAATTCACAGGCAGATGTTTTCTTAACAGGACTGAACTGTAAGTTAAAAATAAAGTAATCTAGAAATTAAAGAAATTAGTCAAACAGCAACTGCTAGTTTGGGGGAACCACAGTGATCCGAGCGGTTGGAATGTATCAATATGGCTTTCAATGTCTTGGGTTCTACTCCTGTATCAAAATGCAAAAAAAATAATTGCTAGTTTCACGTACATATTCTCCATTGTGAGGTAAAATCATAATTTTGCAAAAGAGATTTTTTTTTTTACTTTATTTTTATTTCTTATTTCTAGAACATTCTAAATTTATGGTATGAGAATACGATTTGAAGTCACACAATTAACATTGTAATTTTGCACCATAGATATTTTTCTCGTTATATTCTTTCTTTTTTTCCTTTTTTTTATTTCTAGAACATTCTAAATCATGATATGAGAAGATGGTTTGAAGTGGCAAAATTAAAATTATAATTCTGCAACAGAGATTTTTTTCTCATTTTATTCTTTTTTTATTTCTTATTTCTCTAACATTCTATTCATGGCGTGAAAATTGGATTTAAGATCAATAATTAAATTGCAATACTCCCCATTTTTTTAATCACTTGCTCCAATTATATTACCCTCAATAAGGAAACTCTTCAACAAAATTATGTCAAGAATATTTATTGATTTAATTGATAATAATATTACGTTAAGTTAAATCATTTTCAAACCATTAGTATGTACAATGGAAAATTAATTGCATAACGATTTAATATTTTGCATATGCATTGCACTTGCCAATGTAGAGTAGTAATAAGTAATTATTCCGGTGTTTATTATTGTTATCATTATCATAGTCGCTGTGATCATCATCATCATCATCATCATCATTATCTGGATTGGTGTACACCTTGCGCCAGTTGGCTCCTGGGCCGAAGTACCTATGCCAGGGCCCTCGTAGATCATATACACCCAGGATTTTTTGCTGGGCTGCCGATCTAAACGAATTGTTTCTAAAAAAAAAGATATTCACACAAAAGAATGTTGCTATGATCCTCCCCAGTCGGCGTCGTAAAGAGCGAGGCCCTCTCCCTGCCTAGGCCAGGCCGTCACTAATTTAAACTTTTGTTTTATCACAATATTGTGATCCATCACGGATGGCACTTATCATACTATCACACCGTGCGGAAAGATAAACCACAACTATCCATTCAATAGTTTGCCATTCTACGAACAACAATAGTTATTTTTATTTTATTTTATTTTTTGGGGCTCGTGGACGGTACCCGAATTAATTATTTGCTTCCTTCTTTTTGTTTTTTCTGTCTAAATGATAAGGTCAGAGTGAATTTTAATAGCAAATAGTTAACTTGTATCCACCGCTTTCATTTCATCGACGTTTAAAGCGGGACCCGCCGGTTTAAATCCACCTGGGCCTAGGCCTCTTAACTACCCACTATTTGTAGCAGACACGCCATTAATACAGCCTTGACTTGCTCACTAACCCGAGCCATCGACCAGCACTAGCCAGTAGCCGCACGTTGGTTATACAAACCATTTCCTTGCTTTATTAAAGCGTGGTGATGTATTTTGATTACATCCACTGAACGAAATCAAGCTCGAAATCAAACTCAATAAAGATACGTCCAGCGGGAGAGTATTACTGTATGCTAGTAATTGTCAAGTCTAATAAGTACTTACGAGTTGGCCACGTGTCATATTTACGGGCCGAATCCTATACTTTGAAAATCTAACGGGCCGAATCTATATTATGAAGATCCAACGCAGATGTGAATACCGCCGATCTCTCTATCAATCTGAGTCCGAGATGAAAAACGTCGTCAAGCCGGGATCTGTTTAGAAATCCCGAGCCCGAGATGAAAGGCGCGTACTCCATTAGAATGACGTCTTATGATCAGATTTCACTATAATTTTCTTTATATATGCCCTTGCTCCCAAGCATAGAGTATTATTGTATCCTAATAATTATCAAGTCTAATAAGTACTTAAATGTTGGCCGCCTGTCATATTTACGGGATGAGTCCTATACTTTTAAAAGCTAATGGGCCGAATCTTATACACTGAAGATCCGACCCAGATGTGAATACCGCTGATCTCTTTAGCAGTCTGAGTCCGAGATGAAAGACGTCTTCAAGCTGGGATTTGTTAAAACAATCCGAGCCCAAAATGAAAGACGTTTTCTGATCAGATCCTGTTTAAAAAATGTTTTGTGATCGGACCCCACTAGAAAAATTCCTTAGATATGCCCTTGCTCCCAAGAGAAAAGAAGAGCAAGCTGTGGATGGACAATGAACAATGAATAAAGTTCGGAATTTTTTTAATTTAAATTTTCTTTCTTTTATCATAATATAATATTAAAACCAACGTATTATGAGCTTTGGGATAATCACATCATTAGTGTGAATGAGTGTGCGCACTCGAGTGATCGGAGGCGTGGCCCGCAGTCCACATGCTTAATCCTCGTGCTTGGTGGGCCCAGCCAAATCATAGCGTTAGATGTCTTATGTCTTATTTTGCTGGGCCCGGCCCAAAATCGTCCTGTGGGTCCCACTTGAAATTTGAATGTTTAGTTGGATGTCTTAAAATCACACGAGTGGTGTTATATTGACCCAAAAATATGGGACTCTACATGCGATAGGTAAGGTGTCGGCTCCCTGTCCCATAATGCACTGTTTATGAACACATGTCTCATGTAGAATCTCATATTTTTGGGTCTCTGATGCATTTTTCAAATCAAAGATACCCTTTTTAGCATAATCAGCCTCATAGAATTTGATGATCTTCCGTCTCTTAAACTGGATTGGGCAGTTATTTGCTGAAGAAACGGGGATTGATTGTTTCGTTGTCAGTCTGAACACAGAGGTTAACAGTTCTAAACTAATTATTTCCTTTTCTTTCTTTTTTATAAGAACATATCAATTAATTAAATGGAGTGTGAACTTAACTAGTTGAATTCGGCCACTTGACATGTTGCTTCATGATCGTGACAGCAGAATTATGCTGTTCAATCCCAATTTGTGCTTGTATGTTGTTTTTGTTGTGTCAAAAGCTGTGTCGATGAACCAAACCAAACGCCAATTCAAGAGAGCCAAACGAACTAAATATCAATGCACAAACAAAATATCAATTTTAACGTGATTCGGCAAGTTGCCTACATCCACGAGGCAAGAAGGGGATGGGGTTTTCACTAATAGAGAAGAAGAGTACAAATTGAGATTACAAATCACTCGAAGGAATAAACTAATCTCACTAACAAAACTCTTAATCTCTCCAAACAAAACCCTAACCAAAAGCTCAAAAAATACTTCTTTTTCTGCTCCAAATATCCCCCAATCAATGCTTAATCAAAGCCCAATCAAATCCTAAACAAAGCCTAAACAAAGCCAAAGAAAACCTAAAAAACGTGTCTCTATTTATAACAAAACACAATCCCAAATTGATTGGGATTCTAAAAACAAGTCTGCCACACCCTGGTGTGGCACACACCACACCCATGACAAACAGGACAGATTCTGTCACACCAGGGTGTGGCAGACACCACACCCATGGCAGACAGGGCATTTTCTGTCACACCCATGGCAGACCCCACACCAGGGTGTGGTGGAGCCTGTTTTTGCTTATTCTTCATGTTTTTCTCAATTCCTTCGCCGTTTTCACAATTCTCCACCTCGGCGAAGTTTTCCCAAAACTGAGCCGACACCAACCAAAACAAATACCTCACTTGTTGCATCCAGTACGTCACGGCAATGGACTCATGACAATGGACTCCATCCACACAAGTCGAGACCCAAACGGGAGTGTGAACACTCACCCAAATATCGGTATCTACTCACCAAATCGGCTGCATCAAAACTGACTGCCTACGTAGCCTTCACGTAGTTCACCCAAACGGCCTCCAAAGGCTCTCAAACAAATAGAAAAGTCCGTAACTCTTTCCTAATATCGCCAACGGATTTGTAACTGATAACGACCCCAAACTGATACAAATCAAACACCTCCATCTGAGGTGAACCAATGGTCGTATCCAAATCATGTCCACTAGCTGCAACCGAATCCAAAACCAATCCATCATCTGCATCCGAAATAAAATGATCCCCAACCTGTGTCACCTCAGCTGGAATCCCAAATGACGCAGTATGATCTGGAGTATGTGGAATAAGTTCCTCCCAACGTGAAGTAGCATCACCCTCCACCTATTGCGATATCCAAACGACCTGATCAACATTGTTCACCTGCCGAGGGTCAAAAGTGTCATTCCTACTCAGAACAAAATCAGAAGCTCCCAAACGATAATCAAATGAGCCTCCGAATCCTAAACGCGCAATCGGATCAAATCTCACATCCTCGATGTGACCAAATGCTGGGCAACCAAATATTCGACGCCGACCAAAATCTGAAG